TTAAAACCCAAGGGTACTATTACCAAAATAGTTGTTAATTAGATTTTATGATCAAGAAAAGAAATGAGATTAAACTTAAAAAACAAAAATAGGCTTAGTTTATATAAATTATTCGTAATACCATTTCCAAATTTGATTTGATTTTTAAGTTACATAAACTGATTAAAAAATTATTAATTATTTTTGTGAGAGTTTATCGTTTAATTAATTTTGAATGACTTTGAGGTTCCGAAGTCAACAGAAGAGAGTATACACATCAGTTCCATCAAATCCAATGAAAGAGTGCCACGCAAGAAAAACACATAGATCATGACGTGTCCCAAAGAGCCAACCAAAGTTTCTCCTCTGCAATATCCATTCTGATATTTTCTCCCAATCGCTATAAAGAACAAAACAACACAACACAATAGACCATAGTACTTTCCTGTAGCAGTGCATTTGTTGTGGTTCGGTTTCACAGTAGAATTGGGTGCACGCCATGGCCGACAAACACAACCTCAAGAATCCAGCCGTCAAACGGATTCTCCAAGAGTTGAAAGAGATGCAATCAAACCCTTCCGATGACTACCTCAGTCTCCCTCTCGAGGTTTTCTTTTTCCCTTTTCAATTTTTCATTCATATTTCCCTTTTGTTCAATTGTTCTTAGGGTTTTACATTGCCTCGTCTCTACTTTTCGGTCTTCAGTTCAACAAATTGTTTGCTGACAGGGTCAGTTTATTTTGCTACCAGTTGCAATTTAATAAAAAATATTGTTGATTTGGTTATATAATTGTGAGCAGATATTTTTTCTTTTTTAGAATCGGATAATTGTGAATTTTTCTTTTTCTTATTTGGATCGGATAATTGTGAACATTTTGACCTGTGGTCCTTTTTGAAGATGCAAAGGGAGGGACCATATTTTAAAAAAGAAACAATCTTGTAAGGATATATTGTTTCATAAATATTTTTATGAGAAAAAAAAAGAATTAGATAAACAAAAATGAGTTTTTTCATAAACAAAAATCAGCCTGTATAACAAATCAGGTTACCAAGGGGTTTATTTCATTGAAAGTGTTTTCTGAGCAACTTCAGTGTGATGCATTCTTTCAGGAAAATATATTTGAATGGCAATTTGCGGTTAGGGGACCTCGTGATACTGAATTTGAGGGTGGTATTTATCATGGACGGATTCAGTTGCCTTCAGAATATCCCTTCAAACCTCCTTCATTTATGCTGCTGACGGTAAGATGTTTGTTTCCCTATGGACTTAGTTGATTCTTATGTTGAAATGTTTATCTGAATTTGTTTGGTTTGGTTTGATTTGATTTGCTGATACCATGCTTAATTTCACACTGTTATCATTTCAGCCTAGTGGCCGTTTTGAGACCCAAACCAAGATTTGCTTGAGCATTTCAAATCATCACCCTGAGCATTGGCAACCATCATGGAGTGGTAAGTTTTATTTCTTCCCCCTCCTTCACTCGCAGCATACGCTAAACTAGAGTTTGTTTGTTGTTGCTTATTCCAACAGGAACGGAAATTGAGGGAGGGAACATAATTTTGCTTCTCTTCCTCCCATCATCTAAAACATATATTGCAATTCTTGTTAAAAGCCATTGATTTGAAATATTAAAGCTTCATTCTTTGCTTTTGATGAAGCAAGTTCTCACTGAGTTGATGCAAATTTATATTGGCAGTGAGGACTGCTCTAGTTGCGCTGATTGCATTCATGCCCACCAACCCAAATGGCGCGCTGGGCTCATTAAGCTACAAGAAAGAAGACAGGCGTTCCCTAGCCATTAAATCCCGTGAAGCACCTCCAAAATTTGGGACTTCTGAACGTCAAAAACTTATAGATGAGGTAAAATGTTGTTCATTTTTTTGTCCAGTGCATTTTTGCAGTGCTATCTTATGCTGATCGTACTAGGTAAAATGTTGCATGTTGTCTATTCTTGAATCTTGGTGCATACTTTCTGTAATATGTACTGATTGAGCACTTCTATGCCAGATACACGAGTATATGCTAAGCAAATCAACCCCTGTTCCAGAAGTTGGTCCCTCACAAGTTTCCGAGGGACAATCCATCACAGAGGAGGCTGAGACCCTGTTGAATTTGCAAAATCCGGAGCCTTTACCTGCAGGAGAGGGGATTCCAGATATAGCAGGTGACAGAATAATTGAAGAACAAGAACATCCTGCCAATGCTAATCCTAACCTTGCAGGAGTTGAAGTTTCAAGGGAGAACACATCTAGTGTCCCAAGAAACCAGTTGATCCAAAAGTCAGATGCAATGGTTCAAAATATGAAACCAGAGACAAGGGCTCCAAAACCAGACGACCGATTGTTCACGCTGGCTGCTATTGGACTTACTATAGCAATTGTGGTTCTTTTGCTGAAGAAGTTCGTTAAATCTACAGGACATGGTGCTGTTTTCATGGATGAGTCTTAGATTAATTCTTGCTCATGTTGGCTTAAAGATCAAGATTCTTGGCCCGATGGTAGTTTGCAGCGAAGTGTAGCATTTATTTACTGAAATGATATTTATGATCTTTTCATGTGTACGTATCTCTTGTAACTGTTGTAATATAAATATAAGTATATACTACAGCTTTGAGTTCGTGAGCAAGGGTCTACGATGTGGTAGTTATGATGCTTTTTTGTTTGGTTATGACTTATCCTAGTTTATGCGTACTGACGTAAAAGTACTCATCAGTGACAACGTTGGATAAAATAGAAGACAATTACTTTGAAAGAAGAGGAGCAAAAATAAGGAAACTAAAAAACCTTCACTTTCAAAAATTGTTTATGCTCAAACTAGGGTTCATCCACACTGCATGGTTAGTGATAACTAATAAAACCATCTACATTGCAATGTTAATTAAAAACAAAATAAACAACATAAATGAGAAACCATCATAGAGTAACACACACCCACATGCAAAATCTATTCAACCGAAACACCAAAAGATTTCTACTCTCTCTCCTAGTTTCAAAATCAGCCGTAACCAATAACGTCTTATTTAGATCTTAAATTCGCCACACTTGACACTTGAGCAGTGGAGCGATTTAACTGTTTTAAGAACATCCACAGCTATCATTCAATTGAACGAATTAGAAGGAAACAACAAACAACATTGTACTTTTCACAATGACCATGTATAAGAAAAAAATAAAAATGAACAGCTGCATTGCATCAGCATACTCCGTGCTAAGACCCCTCTTCCTACTTTCATATTTGGATGGAATGGATGAACTGGGACAGGTGGCACTTCTCTTGGTTCTGATACATTTTCTCCTCACCTCGGAAAAGCTTGCAAAACATAAATACTAATCAATACATCTTTTAAAAAATTAAATACTAGATCATCATCAAAAATGAAAAATATTAAGTACTTTGAAAGTAGGGGAAAACCAAAGTCAAGTTTCACATAAGATATAAAGATTGAAGGCATCTATTTCAAATGGGACGTACACGTGCTAATTAACTTTTATGTGTTTGCTTAAAATTATATTTGACATTAACTCTGGTTCTTTATATATTTGTTTAAGGAGGTCTATTTTCAGGTATATGTTGTTTTCGGTAATCGAAAAAGAAATATTGTTTAAGGAAAATATATTTATTTAACTTCAGGCATCTCTTTGAAAACCTCAGAAGACATTATCCGCATTAGCACTCCAAGATATAATGCAACAGATTGATTGATATATGCAAGAAAACAACCAACATCCTCCAAATTTGCATAATGTGATTCATGTAGTACGAGTTTTAAGCCAGCTGCATTTCAATATCTTCCTCCATGATTTCGGGACTCTTTTATACTCCAAAATTTGTTCAATCAGACCTGCAAAATAGAACTTATCCTCCTCGTAATCCACTTTTCTGCAAAGCTTCTTAAACAGATCACAAGCTTCTTTCTCAGGGTAACTATTCATGATCAGTATCCTTAGTTTGTGGAACAACTTGGCATCATTTTCAGTGCACACCATGGCTTGCATTAGAAGGGCATAAGATGTGAAAGGCTGACTATCATTCTGGTGCTGTTCCAATGCTATCATATTGGAAAATAGCATTTCCGTGAAATGATGGAGTGTGAAGGGAGGAACTTCAAGCACCCCATTTGAAAATTTCAAGTTTAGTAAGCACTTGACTTTGGATCTCTTGAACTTAATCCCATCCTTCTTGAGCTTTGTTGCCGACTCAAGATCACCTTGAGATACACTTTTCCTGGACACTACTCTTGCATAATTTGGAAGGTAACACTGGCGAATCAGGTCAAGCAAATGGTAACCCTCTTGGCTAAACTTCTCATTCACAAATTCTCCATCCCCCGGCAACTGTTTTCTGAAGAAACGAAAGGTAAGCTCAGAGAGGGTCAGGGTCTGGTCAAGTTGTACTTGAACGAGTACAATATGAAACAACCTTTGAAGAATGAGAAATGGTATTTGGTTTTCTAACAATATAAGGTCACATCTAACCTTATTGAGCAACCCTGGCGTGACAAATATGGGGTCACCACCACGTCTTATACCCTTTAGAGCATATTTCAAGAGAAGCTCAATGATGAAACACCCATCAACTAGCATCATCTCGATGAACTGGTTGCTTCTGAGGTTCAGTTCTTCTACATAAAAATTTCGTGCTGGCTTCTCTAAATCGCTCAGTGCATTCACACATTCGTGCAAACTTGACTCTAACTGGTTTGGTTGTCGACTCAGCAGTGTGAGCAGGTAATGCCACTTGCGATCTTCCATGTACTTTAGACCATCCTTGCCATGATGGAGAGGACCAATAGAAACTGTGCCAGGGATGTACATATTCTCATTTACTTCTAGGAGTTTCAATGGGACTCTGAAGATGGAGTTCAAAGATGAAACCGCTTCAAGCTTCTCTTTGATCGATGATACAAGATCTTTATCTGCTTGTGTCTTAGCTGAAACAGGGTTATGATCCATGTTTCTTGACTGATCCCTGGATTTGTCAGTGATTGTTTCCATTAAAAGATAGTAGAAAAGTGTTTTTTCTCTTTATCAAATCCACTGTGGGAGTAAAAATGAGATTTTGTTATTCATACAATAATTCTACTTTTCTTTTTCTCCATCATATTAAAATCATACATGCAGGCAAAATAGACTGCACTTGCATTTGCACGTTTTATTAAGAAATAAGCATGAAAATGAAGACGCAAATGCAAATGCTTCTCTCCAATATACATGAGGATCATCGTATCCAAATTTCAAGGAAAAGAAGAAGGAAGTAATGTTCATTAAGTTTGCAAAACTAAAATACAAGCAAAAGATAAGAGCCATGAGAGATCAGGGAGGGGGAAAATTCCATTATTCAATTGCAAGTTAAATCTATATATTCTAAACACATAATTTTCTTGTTCACAGATGGGTTTGGGTTTTTAAAAATGATATTTTTATTAAACTAATAGAGATTCAAAATAATTCAAAATTAAAGATTAATAAATATTTAGAATATTACACATTCAATAGGTTATATAACATAAAAAAATCTAACAGATTTGTAACTCTATTCAAAATGATGGGATATTTTTTTAAAAAATATTATACTATATTTACAAAAAAATAATAAACATTAAATAGATATGAATTAAAAACATATAAATATGGTTTACCATATATATATATATATATATATATATATATATATATATATATATATATTAATAAAATGTTTTATATTTTTATTTATATTTCATTTTTTTATTTTTTAATAAATTATATTCCTTTTTTAATAAATTATGATTCATACCAAACCCAAATATAAATATACAAATTATTTTCTTTTGAAAATTATGAATTTGAAATTCAATCTAACTATTTAGATTTTGGTTTATGAAATTTTAAACTAATATCTTTAAAAAAAAATATGAATTTAAATTTAGTTTATTTTCAAATTATATTTTCAGAAATCCAATTTATCTTCACCCAAATAGTTGAACTATAGTTTGGCCATTTCTAAGTTAAGTCTTCACTTCTGTCTATGCTAACCTCATCCCATAATCTGTATTTAGCATAAATAATCTGTGTCCTTAAAATTATAATGAATGACATAAATATCAATCAAACCACATGAACAGAAAATAAACTCTGAAAATTAAATCAGCAAACCCCAGCCCCAAATATTTTTTTCTTAGCTTCAACAATTCTGCTATACATTTTTTTTTCAATTCCAGTTATCCATTGCTGGAGAATTAGTACTAAATTAATTACAAAAAAATATTGGGAAAAACTTGTCAAGAAAATTAGAAAAAGAAACAAAAAGAAAAACATAGACCTGTATATCAGTTATCTGAATATGTTTCTTCCCAATCTGTATCTCTGTTTCTGGCTTTGTCTACCTCTGAAGACAATGCAAGAATGCTGCATGCATCGATATCTTAACAATCCCGAAAGCAATAATAGTTTCGAAAACTAGCGAGGCTACTGCTACTATATATACATAGATTAATCAAAACTTATTAGAATCCTAGATAACTTGAGAAGTGTGGTAACAGAAAGGAAGTGGAAAAACCAATGAATAAGGAAAGAGGGAACAAAACTAGTCAGGTACAGTTCTGAACTGTACAAAACAAAAAGAAAGCACGACCTGCTGAAGGTAAAGCAGAAACCTATTAGAAGTAATTACTTAGCATATAGTTTAAGAATTTTTCACACTAATTCTACGAGTCAGCATATTAACCCTTGCATCATGGTTTCCCTTCTTTCATCTTATATTTTATTCCAACTCAAGTTAGCTATAGTTATCATATGATAATTATTTACAAGAGTTTTTTCTGCAAGCACAAGAAATTTTGTAGCTATCATTACTAAAGAAAATTTTAGAAAGATATATGTATATTTTCGACCAGAAATATTTCAAAAAAAATTAAGTATTATCTATGAATTTTTTTAATAAAAATTCATATATATTTATGATGTAATAAGAAAACAATCTCTTTAGTGCGACTACAAATAAGAGCAAAAATAAAAACATATTATAAATTTAGTTTTATAGTATGTTTATAGAGATATTTGGAGGGATAATTACAGAGAACTTCATATAAGGAGTTTTACAGTGTAACGTAAGTGTAGTGTAGGAAAGTTGTTAATAATTAGAGGAATTATTTTTTGATATACCTAAATTTCTTCTTACATTTGATATTATCCTTGCTTAGTTTTTACTTTTTTCTTTCTTAAAATAATACAAAAGTTTACACCACTTTATCCTTGTAATATGTATTAAATTAACGTAAGAATGTGTCATGATATTATTATTATTACTCTAATGGCTAAATGTCAGCAACTTTGAAAGCAAAATCCTAGGCATAGATGCGTGAGCTAGAAAACTTAAGCCAATTTCAACTGTGTCTGTGTGATGCCATATTTTGACAGAAACTTATCAAAGTGTAAAAATTCACGTGTGTTACACAATCAAAGTGTAAAAGATTGTGTAAAATAAAATGAGAATCATACTATGAAAGATTAGCAGAACTAATATATGAGCAATAGTCAAACCTGGTCCATTTCCAAGTTTAACATGTTCAGAACCAGTGTAAGTGGATTTTGAAGAAAAATTGGAAGGATCACTTGTTATGTGATGTGAAGCCCCACTGACAGGGTACCGCAAAGATTCAGTCATAGATGATATAGAAGAAAATTGATCAAAACTGATATCGCTATTGGAAGGTGTAACCTGGGAATTATGTATTTGAACAAAGGACTGAAAATCTTGATTGAACCGATGCCAGCAAGAAGTAGTTATGTGTCCAAACTTGGTGCAAATTTGACATTGAACTCGCGTGTTGGCGTTGTTGTGGTGTGAGGAAGATGGTTTTGAAAAATTGTTCTTGTAGATACATCCACCATGAATAGAGTTAGAAGGCGAACAACCACGACCACGATCTTGAGTCTTGCTAACGAGTGGATAAATTCCAGGAAGATATGGTGATAGCATTAACCTAAAAGATATTATCAGAGGTTTGTTTGTGCTTCTCTAAGCGTTCCTCATGCGCAAAAAGCAAAGCTTCAATCTCTTCTACCGAGTAGGGTTCTGTTCAGAAAAGAATGGAAGTAACGAATCCATCGTATTCGTCTAGCAAGCCATCAAGAATGGCTTCGATGTGATTTTCTTCTGATGTCAAGAATGTACGCAGATATCGAGCGATCCTTTTTGGAAGCTTTGAGTTGCACTTTCAATTTTTTTACATGTGCTCTGGATTGGCTAGCGAAGTACACTGTGAGTTTTTGCCATCAAGAAAATGAAGTGAAGGCCTCTGATTGTTGCCATGCTAAAAAATTATGGTCATCAAGTTGAACGCTCACAGGTGTGGTGAAAGAATGTGGAGTAAAAGAAGGAATGGATGTGGATGTGATTTCAAAAGCGAAAGTCATGGTTGAGAGAAAAAAAAAATTATGCAGCTCTTGATACCATGTTGTGATAGTAAAAGAGTGAGGAGAGAAGATAACTCTACATGTATTATTACGTGAATCAAAACAGCCTTATATAGACATTAGAAACACTGACTATAGAAACTAACATAACAGACTCTGGTATGCAGTTATACACTAATAGTATTTAAAAAAAAAACAACTAAATTTTGATTCCTTGAAAATTGAACTTGGTTGATTGGGAATAATTGAGGCTAGAATTTAACTCCCCAATGATCAAATTCTAGCTTGGTATGATAAATTGAAAACCATATTATCCTTGTAATTGTTCATCAGAGTACGCTACGTTTATAAACACTCTTCCAAAACTTTTCCAAAAGTGTTAGTTGAGGAAAAATGTACTCATTTCAACCTTAACTTCATTCCACCTTCAACATCACCTTTTATTTAGATCCCAAATCATAGCCATTAGAGAAGGTAAGTGTAAGTCTAAGTTTAAGTTCCACGTTAACGAGAAAGTTGAAAAATATATAAAATACAGAACTTATAAATTGAAAAATGATTCTTTGACAAACCTAAATTTATTACTTTAAGAATAATAATACTTTGATACGGATGTTCATTTTGACACTCAAATGACACATTGTGGGTCCCAATAATAGTTTTATTCAATCAATCACATTGGGTTATTTTATAAATTAATGACATGATACTATATGAAATGAATGTATTTGACACGTTGACATGTGAATGTATGGATACTCTTGCTTTAAAGTTGAAAAATGATTCTTTGACACACCTAAATTTTTTACATTCATTTGACATTACCCTTACTTACTTTTTACTTTTTTCTTTCTTGAAAAAATACAAATTTTTACACTTTTACCCTTATACTCCGTGTCAAATGAATGTAAAAGTGTATCATGATACCATTTCTCTTTAAAGTTTTGAGTTGAAAGTGATGTCAATTTCTTATGTAAATTGGTGAGATGTCTCGTTACTTTAATTTTTGTAATTATTGAACACAATATGCTATATTTACATATACATTTTTAAAGAGTGTTAATTGAGTAAAATTTTTCCCATTTCAACCTCATATTACTTCATTTTCCTCGTCATCAACACAATTTATTTTATGCTTATGACTTTGGCCTCAATTTTCATCAAGTTTATTCAATGTAGTTTTTTTTTTATAATTTCAATAAGACCTTAAGTTTCGTTAATTTTGATGAATTTGGTTATTTGTCGCATTTCACTTGTTGATTTTTTTATTTTTTCTTAATTTAAAAAATAATTCTTTATGTTTCAAATTAGCATTATCACAAGTGACAATATTAGTGTCACATGGTACTGTCACATGTCATTGGTTTATATTAATATAGTCTATATATTTGTTATTTTGATTCAATTTAATCTTTATAGTTGTTATTTTTATTTAATTTAGTTATTTTAAAAAAAATGGAGTAATTTTGTTTCTCTCTCTAAATTGAGACCAAATTTAGTTTTTATATGAATGTTATACTGATATTTTTATTAAAACCAACTCTAACCTTATTTTTTTTACATGTAGCAACAATCAAACATAACTTAATAGTTATATTTTAATAATTAGAGTTCGTTTAAAAATAATTATAGAAATATTTAATAAAATGTGAGTTTTAATAAAAATATAAGTATAACATTTATGTAAGATTTAATTTGGTTTCAATTTGAAAATGAACAATTTAAAAAAAATTGAACTGTGAATTGAATCAAAATAACAAATATAAAGAAAAAGTTGAATCAAAATATTAAATATAAAGGCCAAATTGAATATATGACATTGACACATAATATTAACATTGATACTTATACTTGACATTGACTTTGTTAGGTCACTGGCAAACTAACAAAAATTAAAAAAAACTGAAACGTGAATCTTAAAAGAAATCATATTAAATAAACTAGATGAAAATATAAATCATAATAGTATTTAAGTGTTTATTTTAACCCCTAAGATCACAGTTATGAACCTTAAGAAAAAGAACTCACCATTACTATTCTAAGATCAAACATGTTTNCTAATGGCTAAATGTCAGCAACTTTGAAAGCAAAATCCTAGGCATAGATGCGTGAGCTAGAAAACTTAAGCCAATTTCAACTGTGTCTGTGTGATGCCATATTTTGACAGAAACTTATCAAAGTGTAAAAATTCACGTGTGTTACACAATCAAAGTGTAAAAGATTGTGTAAAATAAAATGAGAATCATACTATGAAAGATTAGCAGAACTAATATATGAGCAATAGTCAAACCTGGTCCATTTCCAAGTTTAACATGTTCAGAACCAGTGTAAGTGGATTTTGAAGAAAAATTGGAAGGATCACTTGTTATGTGATGTGAAGCCCCACTGACAGGGTACCGCAAAGATTCAGTCATAGATGATATAGAAGAAAATTGATCAAAACTGATATCGCTATTGGAAGGTGTAACCTGGGAATTATGTATTTGAACAAAGGACTGAAAATCTTGATTGAACCGATGACAGCAAGAAGTAGTTATGTGTCCAAACTTGGTGCAAATTTGACATTGAACTCGCGTGTTGGCGTTGTTGTGGTGTGAGGAAGATGGTTTTGAAAAATTGTTCTTGTAGATACATCCACCATGAATAGAGTTAGAAGGCGAACAACCACGACCACGATCTTGAGTCTTGCTAACGAGTGGATAAATTCCAGGAAGATATGGTGATAGCATTAACCTAAAAGATATTATCAGAGGTTTGTTTGTGCTTCTCTAAGCGTTCCTCATGCGCAAAAAGCAAAGCTTCAATCTCTTCTACCGAGTAGGGTTCTGTTCAGAAAAGAATGGAAGTAACGAATCCATCGTATTCGTCTAGCAAGCCATCAAGAATGGCTTCGATGTGATTTTCTTCTGATGTCAAGAATGTACGCAGATATCGAGCGATCCTTTTTGGAAGCTTTGAGTTGCACTTTCAATTTTTTTACATGTGCTCTGGATTGGCTAGCGAAGTACACTGT